AATATTTCTAAAGTGTAGTTCTAGGCCGGGTGCAGTGGCTCACGCCTGCAATCTTAGCACTCTGGGAGACAGAGGGCAGTGGATTGTCTGAGCTCACAGGTTCAAGACCAGCCTGACCAAAGCGAGACCTGGTCTCTAAAAAATAGCCAAGGCACTGTGGTGGATACCTGTACTCCCAGCTACTCAGGAGGCTGAGACAAGAGAATCTCTCTTATTTATTTATTTATTTATTTTTGAGACAGAGCCTCAAGCTGTCCCCTTGGGTAGAGTGCTATGGCATGACAGTTCATAGCAACCTCCAACTCCTGGGCTCAAGTGAGTCTCCTGCCTCTACCTCCTAAGTAGCTGGGATCACAGGCACCTGCTACAACGCTTGGCCATTTTTTTGGTTGTAGCCATCATTGTTGTTTGGCAGGCCTGGGCTGGATTGGAACCCGCCACCTTAGGTGTATGTGGCTGGCCCCTTAGACACTTGAGCCACAGGTGCCGAGCCACAAGAGAATTTCTTGAGCCCAAGAGTTTGAGGTTTCTGTGAACTATGACACCATGGCACTCTAAAGTGTAGTTCTAGTCACAGCCTGTAACAACTTCCTGATGCCTAGTATTCGTACCATCACACGTCAACGTTCCAACTCACTTTAAAATATCTTTTATTTCTCATTATTTTTCCAGCCAAGTTGGACCTAAACTTATAAAGATGTTTTTCCTTTTTTTGGCCTCTATAGTTTCACTGATGTTGCTGCCGATTAGAAGCAACATCCTATTTCTATGAACAAAACCTGCATCGGTGTTGTGAACTTCTGTTTGCTGCATCTGACCCAGGTCTGCCCTGACCACCTGAAAGGCTGACTTGTGGACTAGAGTGATACTTTCCTGCCCTTTGCCTTTGTGATGGGGTCAGCCCATGGGAAGCTCAGAAGAAGATCAGAAACTGTGGTCAGCACACTCCTTCCAATCTGTGCTCATGTCCCCCTGTTGCCAGGATACTGCTCCTCTCAGAGCAGCCTTCTCCACACAGCTCCCTCACCAGAGATTCAGGTAACTGCTCCTTCCTCTCCTCTCTGGGGCCTCCATGTTGCTAGGCAGGTTATTAAACCATCCCCTATCATTTCCCTACATCCCCTCAGGCACACCTTTACAATTAGTCTTCATTAGATCCTTGAATTATCACAATTGGAGTGTTGTCTATTTCTTGTTGTGAACTGATACTTCTTCTGCATTAAAAAAATCTTTCAAGAAATTTCAAGGGCCATGCGTGGTGGCCCACATCTGTAATCTTAGCATTCTGGGAGGCAGGTGGATTGCTTGAGCTCATAGGTTCAAGACCAACCTGAGCCAGAGAGAGACCCTATCTCTACGAAAAATATAAAAAAACAAAAACCTGAGGCAACAGGATCACTTGAGCCCAGGGGTTGGAAGTTGCTGTGAGCTATGATGTTGCCATGGCACTCTACCTAGGGTGACAGCTTGAGACTCTGTCTCAGAAAGAAAAAAGAAATTTCAAGAATTTTTCACTCATACATTTTGCCAGATAGGATCCTTTCCTCCTCTGACCATAAAATACCACTTTCTCTAAAAGTATTAGTCCAATTCTGCATTTGATTTAGGGGCTTGTCTAATCCCCTCTCTTTAAGTATAAAGCCTCTAAAGCAGTGGTTCTCAACCTTCCTAATGCCGTGACCCTTTAATACAGTTCCTCATGTTGTGGTGACCCCCCAACCATAAAATTATTATTTATTCATTTATTTTTTGCAGTTTTTGGCCGGGGCTGGGTTTGAACCCTCCACCTCTGGCATATGGGGCCGGTACTTTACTCCTTTGAGCCATAGGCACTGCTAAGCATAAAATTATTTTCGTTGCTACTTCATAACTGTAATTTTGCTACTGTTATGAATCATAATGTAAATATCTGATATGCAGCATGTATTTAGGCGACCCCTGTGAAAGGGTCGTTTGACCCCCAAAGGGGTCACAACCCACAGGTTAAGAACCACTGCTCTAAAGACAGGACTGGCTTATTTAGACCTTGTCCCGCACA